ATATATATATATATTCAAATAGCAAAAAAGATTTAGAACAAAGGAAAAACTGTCCACTTTATATATATATATATGTCATTATGCAAGTAATTCTCTTTAACCTAAACTTCTACCAATTAGAATAGTACTATAAACACATATGGAATCACAGGATTAACAGGTGTATGTACTTATCATTACGGCTAGGAATTCAGTCTACTATGAAAAAAATAATAGTAGTTAGTTATTTCATGGAGTAATTGTCTATAGTTTTGTTTTACTTTTGATATTCTAAGAAACTTATTGATAAATAGATAGTTACTGTCAAATTGGCAGTATATACATAGATATGTATAACTAGCATTGGTAAACGATTTCTCAGTGTGTGATTATTTAAACTAGGCCGAATTATGACAGATTTAGCCTAGTTTATATGCCACTGTGCTGTTAATATTTTTCATTCATTTATTTATTTATTGAAGGTTAACACTGAAAAACATCTGCATTAATCTAGATAAGTAAATGATCTAGAAGCAGTCTGGCTCTTTTTATAACAAAGTTATATTGGCAAGTGAACAGATTATTGAAATGATGATGTGAAAGTAAATGAGTTAAATTAGCTTTTTGTACTATAGTTGAAAGTTTCAATTTAACTGCAGCTGCAGAGTCGTAATTAACAAATGACTATCAAACAAAATATTTATAATATATAATGCAAAGAAAATGTTATAGTTTTTGTTGGACAAATATGATTCTAAACATAAGACATAAGTTGATAATCAGCATTTATAAAATAACACGACAATAAACACATAAAATAAGTTTTTTTTCAAACTACTTTATGAATGAAACAAAATATTTCTTATCTTAGGCGTTTCTGATTTGATTAGAACTTCAGTAATACAGTTGTGGCCATGACGTCACAAACAGTTGCAACATCGATGAGTTAATGAGTAGCCGTGATAAGCAGATTCTTATTTATAACGAAAGTAAGCCGAATTAAACTTTGAATTGAATACCATTCGTTTATTAAACGACAGCAATATAATATTATCATGAAAGTAAATTAATCTTAAGTGATTAATTATTCATTATGTGATATAACTTAAAAACTGATTTAAAACTACTAATTTTCAATAAATATGAATCGAGGTGCAGGAGTCGTGGATTTGCACTACTGACGAGTCCCATACCAAGACGAAACGGTCGTCCAATGCTTCAAGGTTTCTAACGGTGGTCCAACACTGATTGATTGATGATGATTTGAAATTAAATGTTTAATCTGAATTAAATCGTGTGACAATTTTCTTCTTCAGAGGTGTCGTTGTTTGTGATGAACTAGTTTTCAACACTGAATCATTAAAACAACGTTGTTTCAACGCTTTTCGAATTCAAGTTATGGTAATTAGAAATATTATTTAGGATGATTTCATATCAAAACAATCTTTATGTTATTTCACACTCATTTATAGAGGTTAACTTGGAAAATGACAAAATCATTATCTATTGTCAAGTCTGTTGAGATAAGTTGTTCTGTGTAACTTGCAAGTTGAAAAATTCTTTCACATACACATATTTTACTCAAAATAAGTTATACAATAATTTTGTTAATAAATTATAATTTTGTTTCATACGTAGTTCCTGTAGTTAGTGTCTGCGAAAATCTTAATGTATCGAATACATCTACTAGAATGTAAGCTGAATCCAGTTGTCTACTAATAAGTTAATTCCATTAAGAATAAATTTATTACTGATAATGTACTTTATTTCTACTAGCCGTTTCAATAGTTTTTTTACTATTATTATTAAATCTGTAATTTATTTGATGAATTGAAATTCATTATTTAAGAAGCAAGTACTTACCAGCTACACTGGCTCTGTCTTTTCGTGGACAACCAGAAACACTGGAAAACAAAATGAAATTTAAGGTAGAGAGATACATTAATTTATATATTTGTTAAATAAATGTAAAACATTATTTTTTGAATGAGAATTGATACTCGTTTATTGAGACAAAATTGTTTCTTAAGATTTATATTATTTTATCGCACTATTATTTTAAATTCCAGTAATGTTGGTTTAATTCGTTAATGTTAGTTACTTATGTATTTCAACTGTAATATTTTGAACAGATACTGATACTCATTCATCAGTTGACTATATTGAAATATTTTACATCTCCATGATAAAAACTACTTTCATATCTTCTAAGCTATTAATTATTGAATGCTTTTTGCCTAGAAAATGATAACGACCCCTAAAGTTATTGGATTAAAATTGTGAAAAATCTCGTAAAACAATCAATATTATTTAATGGTATTTGATAGACTAAAGAATAAAATTGACCACTTCTTAACTAACGAACCTAAATTATCTTTAGTCATCTTACATTGTAAAATCAATCTGAATTAGTTTATTCAAGAATAAGAGTCTTGTGTAGTGATGACACTTTGTATGAGTGAACTTCTACTTTTAAAAGTTTACATCAGTGATCGGCCTACATTAAATACCTGTGAAAAACAATGAAGCACCTGACAGCTATATTTATAGTTTGGGATTCATCAGTGGTGCATATCTCTTACTCCATCGACAATCACTGATATTAACTATGTAATTCGATCACCATGAAAAACCTGACAAAGTCATTATAATCATATGTCAACTACTGCTTGATTTAAAGATATATTCTGAAAGTTCTGGTAAGAGCACTGGACCAATGGAGTTCAAATATGTTGAGTTTTAGGCAGTTACCCACTAATGATATTAAAATAGAGTTGTAAAGTATTGCAAACTGATTGAAATTAAACATATGAGCAGATTATTCGTCTGAATTTTGAACGTATCTAATGGGAGCCAAACGTCCTTCATTCAATCATCGATAAAGTTACGAGTTCATGTTTCCGACGAGTTCCGAAGTAGGACAAAGAACAATCCAGTACTTTCTCTTTTTGATGGTTGTATAACTTAGATTGGATTTTGATGTACTATACTATGCAATCATTTAATTTTCACAAATATGTCTTGGTAATTCTACTTTTAAATTTAACGCTAATTTCTTCTCTTAAAGTTTCTAGTTAATTAAACAGCATTCTCTACACAAATAGTTTACTAGTCTATCGCTAGCCATTGTTGTATCCTAATTAACTAAACTTACCCAAATAAAACTTGATCTGACGAAATTTGAGATCTTCAAATAGTTGTATATGAAATTACTACGTGGGTAGTAAATCTTATACCATTGAATACTTAAATAATCATCTCGCTAAACAAAATAGTTGTGAGTAAATTTTCTAACCCATTACGTTGACAATTAATTGATTCTGGAACAATGACTTACTGTCTCGATCACAGAACTAGTAAAGTTCAGTGTTGTAATACTTGTTTCAAAAATCTCGAGTACAATGTTGATATTATAATGAAATCTGGTTTCCTTAAGTATGTTAACTAATGTCTTCATCAACAAACATTTATATTTTTGATCTTAGAGCACAATATCATATTAATTTTTTGTGATTTGATATATTTTATATTGGACTAGACTTGTAACACTTTTAATAATGATATAGCTTTTACTAGAATAAAGTTTTCATTGAGCTACGGTTCTTACCATTGTTTAAAATGAGGTTCACCTATTTGAGAGTTATTAAATGATCGTTCAATAAACTGAAATCATGACAGAAAGTAAATTGCTATTTTCCAAAGAATCAAAATGTACCATACTTTCAAAAATAATAATAAACACTCTGAAAACACTGACCTTCTGTGGTACGAATACAATCCAGTAGCATGCCCAGTTCCGTCACAATCTCTTATTGGGCACCTACCTTCAGTACTTCGATCTTTTTTAGCCCCTAAAATGAAAAAAAGAAAAGCTTTGTTTTCACTACCAAAAGTAAATCGAATTATTATTCAAGTAGATCTAAGTTGAAAACATAAAATGATCGCTTTTCTGTCATTTCCGCTTCAAAACATCACTTATCTATGATAAGAAATGTTAAAATATGGAATTTCATATCAAGATTCGTTAGTAGCAAGCATTTTGGTTTTTAATGATTGATTCAGTTAAACTCTCAAAATTTGGTAAAAGCTTCGAAAAATGCATCTTGGATTCCATCGTAAGTTACCATCTATCTCTGCTTAAAAATGCTTGCAACTTATTGACAGTATTGAAGCAGTCCGCACAGCATGCCTATATGAAAAACGAGATTGATCGATTGCTGTGGTCAATATAAGTGAAAAGATTCAAACAACTAGTACACATAAAATTGTTTTGCATATATTTAGTACATTAAAACAAGTAATATTTTAACATCGAACGTTTTTTTAAACTTTCGTTTGATCTAATATATGCAAGATAAATTAAACATACTTTTTCATTTTTAGTCAATGATAAATAATGCATAAATCAATTTCAAATCAAACTTCAAAGAATTAATTGTTCAAACGAGAGTTTTCAAATATTTCCATTCGTATGGTTAACAATTAATATTTTTATGAATTCAGAGAGTTATGAGAGTAATGACTGAATTATTAGTATAATTCGACTTATAATATCAGTTTTTACTTTAAATGTTGTATATAAAAAAACAGTTTATACACAGCAATATGTATTCACCGATAATGCTTCAACACTGAAATGCTGTATGCATAATAGAATCGGTTAACAGTCAATACTTGAACGAGAACTAAGTGGTATTTATGGATTACATAAGCTAATCACTATCATTTCGGGACAAATACTCACATTAATAAATAATTATACACTCACTAATGAATAATTAACAAAGAAGGGGTTATATTTTTTTATTCCTGATCACATTGTATGAAGAGCATTGATTAGACTAACTCGGATAAATAATATTTGCTTAAAATGAATTACTATAAAAACTATTCCCAATAGTCAGTAAATAATCTAATAGTAACATTTCGTCATGTATTTTTTTCTACAACAGCATATTCGAAATATGTCTGATAATTTGAAAATGATATAGATCTATATTAGAAATATGAAATTGTATTACCTTGGATTGATTGTAGTTTGAAAGTAACTTTTTGTTGAAAATTTTGTCCTGTTAAATAATCAAATGAATTTTTATTGTCATGATTATCTAAGTCGGATTTGGATGAAACCGAAGAAGGTGGAGAATTCAACGATGTGTTATAGGAGTCGGATAGCATTAAATCTTTATTATCAAATTTAATTCTATTTCCGTTGACATTACTCTGATTGAATTTAGCATTTTCTAATAAATAATTCACAAAATGATTTGTTTTCTCCATATTTTCATTTTGTTTCGATGATAGCGTTTGTTTAAATATCTCACTGTCATGAGTAGTATTAGGATTATTATTATTATTATTGCTGATTTTATAATTTTGATTATACATAAGATAACAATTGTTGTTAAATGTAAATTCAGACGAATCGATAAATTTCTTATTATCATGGTAGTCTTTACACATTTTACTTGAATTGCACTGACTATCTGCATTATCTGCATACGAATTTCTTGGAATAGGTGATATTTGTTCGAAATTAGTAATTGGTTCACTTAGCGCATTGTCTAGTTGATTACTGGTATTCATCTGAAAGTACAAAGGGAGATATTCAGTTCAGAAGATAACCATAATACGACTTCTTGCGAAAGAGAACATTTTGTAAGACAACATATTAATATTCGTATATTTATTGTAAATAGTTCCGAAAACAGTTGCTGCATCGATAGCGACCGATTCTAAGAAGTAAGCAGCTCTATGATTTTCAAAATGGTTCGGTTTCGGGACTCATGGAAAGGAATTTTCAAACAAATGAAAAATATACTTTAAGGAGGTTCAAGAAATTACACTCAGCTAATGAACAACGGCTACACTTGAACAAAGTGAATAATTTTTTTTAATTTACAGATATTAATTTAATAAGAAAGTTTATACGTCAGTAAAACTATCTAACAATCCATCAAAAACTTTTATCACTTTGTATATTCATTTATTGTACACACGTTATTTTCACACTAGATTCGAAAGATGTGATAATTGAATATGAATAGCATTAACGGAATAAAAAGTAGAACAATGGAGTGTGAAATTAGATTTTTCAACATATTTACATTGAGTTATGTATGATACATTGTTTTGTTTTAGTTAAGTTTTAATTTACATTTGGCATGAACTGAATTATTTTCTTATTACAAAGTATACAAAATCAAATGATAAAATGTCATATTTTACACAATTAAATGTTATTTTTGGAATGACCACGATATATGATATGTTGATTTCAGGCAAAAACATGAACAGCTTTTAAATTGAAAAAATTTTGTTAGTTGAGAAAAAAAACAAATCAATCAATGATGGAAAATTCAATGACAAAACACTTCGTTTTAAATAATTGTGTTAATCATATCCCACTATTTAGGTTTTCTTTGAACATAAACTGCTGCCAACCAAATGCGATTATGGTTAGTGAATTTCAACAATCGTCCTATATTGTGTCAGTTAAAACAAATGGATATATTCAACAGGTTTTAGAAATTTTCAAATCAAACAAACATTTTCAGTTAACTTTGAGTATTATTTATTTATTTAATGCAAGCTTATTCCTTCATTTGGGATTACCTATCAACATGATTAGTAATAAGAAATATGATATTCAAATAATTGCCTTTCATAATAAAACCTTTTTCTTGTCTGCTTTTTGGTTTACGGGAAGTGACAATACTATGTAGAATAATATTCAACTTGATAAACGATAGGGAGATAAAGTGTTTGAACATCAGTTAAATAAGTCATTATTCAGTAAAAATGAGCATGTAAATGAAACAGTTTGATTTTAGAAAGAAAGCGTTTTATATTCCACTCACAATTGTCGACATGGTAATCTTTGAAAGAAATTCATTACGAAGAAAATAAATATAACTGATTTATATTTCATATAAAAGCCAGCTAATCAACCACTTCGATAAATTCTTATGTAGTTTATTTTTTTAAGTTATGTACTCATAGATATTAAATTTTAAGATGACGAAGCACTTATAACTAAAAATGGACCATAATGCACATGAGTTGAATTGGTTCCTGTTTATGCTTATCTAACCAAAACAAGTATGCGTTTTCCCATTACAATCTATAAGATTTCTTCCTCGATTTGCAGTATGATGAAATTTCGAGTTAATATACTTGTTTCTTTGTATGTAAATAAACTTGTCTGATAAATGAAAAGTTTCTATCTCATACAAACATCATTAAAATACAGCATTTACTTTCCCTCATATTGAGTCGTAGTATTTATAATACAACCATCAATAATTCTAACCAAATTGTATCAAAAGTTTGTCCAAGCGCACTCTAATTCATTTTTTAGTCTTCTAATCCACTACTCCATAAGATTTGTTAAATTAGTGTGATATTGTTTAGGGAACCTACATCCATTTAGAGATTTTAGTAAATAATGAGATTATATATATATAGTATTTATAATATTTTCACTTGGTCACACTGTACAGTCATTAGTCTTCCTCCTATAACGTACCTCAAGTTTCACTTGTAACTATTGTATCTGCTCATCTTTACATGATGGATCAACACCATGAAAGTGCATTTAAGAATTCAGCAATACAAATTAGTCTCTTTTCATAAGCAGAAATACTTATCATTACAATGTCAGTTTTGTCTGAATGTCGACAATGTATGTAAGTGATTGGGTGGAATTTGATTAATTCAATATTTCGTCCGGAAAAATTATATTTCCCTTCCCTAAAAAATAAACAACCATAATAATATGTGATTCATTCTATAAATCTCATAAATTTGTCGAAAAATTCGTAAACATTTACTCCATCAAAATGTATGACATTTACACGAATTTAAATTACTCGGTTTATGAAATCATTGGATTCTAAAGTCTACAATACAAGGTGTATTACCGATTCTAAATTATCTGTTCCAATGTACCTTTTTAACTTGACCTTGAAGTGAGATAGACAATTTTTTTTAAGAAATTATATTATTAATTTGATAAATATCAGACTTAATTACATTTTGTCATCAAATCGCTGATCATAAGCTTTGCGATTTCACGATTCCTACTTAATCATAATTGAAAAATATTTTTTCAAAGAAATATGAATACACAATGGATGGAGATGAAATTGTTTCCTTTTTTTTGACAGTTTAAATCATCAGTTCACTTTTCCCCCTCTGTGTTCTATATTTCCCCTTGAACAAGTCTGAGTTTTACTAGGAATTACCAGTAAATTTAACTAGGATTTTTAGATACCAGACAATGTATTTGATTATTGCTAATTTGACTGAAACTAACTATAACTAACTACCTTATGTAGATAGCTAATATTAATGACTAAATGTTGCGTTTTAAAATATGTCAGTGTAAATACACTAACATATGAAACTTATTATTTGTGTGATATATTCCCAAATGTCATCATCAGAAAATGATGTTAAAGTAATCTATCATAGTAAGTTTTATATGAACACAAAAATGTCTGAAAAACAATTTGTAATCATATACAATATTCATTATAATGGTGTGTGGTCAATGAGTAATACTGGCATTACCTTTTATAAAATAGTTATGTACTGTACATAATTTTTGATAACAGGCTACAAATTATTGTGGAATAGCGTTATTCTTAGTATCTAATGGTGTATGCTTGTGAAGATTTAACAAATTAAATTTTTCAGTAATCACATACAGTATTGAGGAGTTCCATGAAACCATGAAGTTGTTTTTAAAATATATCAAACAATTTAATGAAAACAACATATGAACTCATTGAAATATAGTTTTGTAACTTATAGTAGACTTTAACCTGTTGAACTGCTGTTTTAACAGTTTTACATTAATTTTCAATACTATTGAATGAATGCTGAATGATAAACGAAGTTACGGTTGCAATCATTAAATTCAATTACGTAACTTCATAAGTCCACAGTGAATATAGGAAAGCATTCATTGTGTAGTGAAGAAATGTTTTAACATTGAGAAGTGAAAATGAACATTGACTAAACCATATAATCAAGCATATCCATAACCAGAATGAAAATAATTTTAATCATTTCACATTGTATTAATTTCAAAACAGTTTTGTACATATCATTCATTTTCTTTATATAAAATATTTTCCACCAGATATACTTAACCATAAACAACATTATGTAGTCATTTATCCAAAATCATTCACCTTTCCTAACACCATGTGATATAGATGAACACAATTTTCTTCTTTTTCATACCATTAATCGGGAAGAAAGTCTTACTTATTCCAAATTCATCACAAGTATTTACATTAATTATTCTTCGAATGGTTACATTTACGTTGGACGAAAATAGTTGAAATGATGTAAAGTTTTCTACAATCCACTTAAACTTAGTTGAATCGATAATGACAAAATGAAATACGACTACATCAAACTATCAATCTGTTCCCTTAACGTTTTAAATAATTATAAAATTTGAAATTAGTTCATTGTTTTATTTCGAAAGGATATTAAAATTTATTTATTTCACTAATGTAATCTAATTCAGAGACAATCAACTTTTAATTGTTTGCTACGAATAATAATGTAAAATAATAACTACGCATGAAATGCTATAAATATTCGAGTTTTCGGATAAAACTTCTAATTTTATTTTATGATAAACCCAACTGCAAACATGTTGAAATCTATCTAGTACACGTACTAGATATTCATGATGAGTCTTGAAACACGGAGTCATTTCATTCAATATTCTATCCAGTAGGCAGAAATACAAGGTTAAGTATTATCATACAAATAGGTTAACAGAAAAAAATTGATTGAAATTGTATCAGTATAGAATTGTTTAAATAGTAAACATTTAAACAAAACCTTCACATAATCCTCTGCCTCAACGAAAATCAATTTCTGTGCACAAATTTAAATTAAACTGCATTAATATAAGTGAGTTAAAACAATAAAAAAACGTAGAATTAATCACGATTAACTAAAATAATGAACGCGTGAATTCAAACGAGTAAAAATGTAAACAAATCAAAGTACTTCTTCTAAACATTACTTTACAGAAAATGATTGACTATGTCAAAGTCCAATTAGTAAAAACCGAATAATTGATGTAAAAGTGATAACATTTCCAAAACTAGCCTACTTGAGATACTGACGTAAAAGGATATTTTGTTTTCTTACCTTTATGTATAGTTTTATTATTTTCAAAGAACGAATTTTCCTGGGCGAAAGTTCACACTTTTATTGAGAGAAATATCTCTCATGTAAATTTGTAAGTTATACTATTGAAAATTAAGAGACTTATGTCAAACGTTGAGGTAATCGATGTCAGAGCGCAGAAAGTTATACAACTATTGAAATAACTCCTACTCTACTAATAATTTGAGTGTTACACACACGCATATACATATACATTTCAAAATTAAGTAACATGAAGTTGAATATTTAACTGGATATAAACTTGACTAACACTTCAAAGTTGACTCGACTCATGATTGTTAATATTATCTAAGTGAAAAAAAGATAAATTTCTGTCATAACATAGACATTCGGAACATTCGAAAATCCATTCTCAATTAAACGTA